CAAATATCTCCAGTGACGTAACGCCAAAGCTTACATCCTTTTAGAAAACTTGACATTTCTTGAGCCCATAAGATATAGTTTGATCCATTTAAGATGGTCTGAATGGGTACTGAGACTTCTAATTTTTCCATGATATGTAATAAACTAGAATATACCCAATATAATGAATTCTGAGAAAACCGATATTTCCAAGGCTGATATTGAAAAAATAAGGCAAAAAATGGATTCAGAACATCAAAATACCTCCGGAACCGGTTTGAAAATACCAAGAACCAATCCAAAAGAGATCGAACCGGTCAGAAAATAGATAAACTGTTATGGTCAACGTTCAGTCAACGTCAGGTCAACGGTCGATCAGCGCGGTCAACGGTCACAGTGCTATGATGACGTGGCAAATGACAAGGCGCGGATATCACACGTGGTAGATGACTTGGCGGTCACGTGTCGCTGACGTTAGAGGATGACGTCACTGGTTCGAACCGGCGGATTGGGTGCGTCTCACACGGCAAGTGGATATCATGCGCAGAGAACCTCGGAGGCGCGTGAGGGCGCGGGGAGAGGTTTCCGGCGACGTTCATTGCTATTCTGGACTCGCCGGAGGATGGAGAACCTTTCTATGGTGTTTGTTTTGGATTATATCCAACTATTGACGTCGGAAAAAGGACTTACAGTCGATGACGTCGGAGGGCCCCTAACGTGGCGGCGCGTGTGGAGGCTTCCTGAGCTTAAAAAAAAAAAAGAAAAACACCGTGGCCCCTTCCTCAAAAAATATTGGCTCTGATACCATGAAAAGAATAAAGTGAAAAAGAGAATTTCTGTATATTTCTGTATACCATGAAAAGAATAGCCTATTTATAGGCTATTCTAGATAACTATCTAAAGCAACAAAATATTACAATATCAAATAACATCAAATAAAATCAATCAGAGAGGATTGATATCCCTAACATTATCAATCAGGGAAGGTCGATATCTCTAATACATGTCTCTAACAAATCTGATGTATGTAAACTGCAATGGCTCCTATTACATGTATGGTCTCCAATAAGCATTCAAAGCTTGTTTTGATGGGTTACTTATTTTCTTTTTCCTATTTTTCGCTTTTGGGTCTTTTGGCATCAACATTTGTTTTGTGTCTCTCGATCCCCTGTTTTCAAGGTAATCTAGCTTTATTATACACACGGATAGCATTATTGGGAAATATAAATTCCGAATTGCTCGATAAATTTATACAAATATAAGTACACACTCAATAAAGAATTCATGAGGATCTTAGAATTGTGTTAATTTAGTTATTGGACGTGGAAGTCAAGAGCATTCCCAAAGGACTTTTCTTACGCCAGAAGATAATCTTATGGGGGTGTTCTGATGTCATGGTGGACATGGTAGTTTCTGCAAACTACCATCTAGAGCATCATCACTTGAATATGATGACGGGCCATTTCCCCCTGGCCACTCGATGTAAATTTTGGTGAACATATGCCACAGGATTCATCTTATTTCGTATAGAATCCATGTACATCTCGCTCGCCATTTCAGATTTCTTCATTCCTCGTCCCCTACACTAGGGTAACGCACAATTAATAACCGAGCAAGTGGGTTAAATTGAATCTCAACACCTGAGCAAACGTCGGGAGTGGAGTCCCTCGGATCCTAGCCTCTTTGCCCCGGGGGATTATCCGTTGGGATAATGAAGAGTAGCTGGATGCCCCAAGAGGATCACACTCTGAACGACATCAAAAAACAGAACTGAAACAGAGTCGAAACCAAGATAAACGTACACATACATTATACACATTTATATGACTAGTTTGCTCTTACCTATGGAGAAAGTTTCAAGCAAAAACATGGACAAAAAACACTATCCCGTTCCAAGGGAGTACCCACGCAAGTGTTGAGCTGCCTGATGAAGCTGGAGAAGTTGGAGTGCTTGAAGTATCGAGGCAGGACCTGCTTCGAGAACTCGTGCTCATCCCACACCATGAAGCTGTCCCGGCTCGAGCCCCACGACACCACTGGGTCTGTAGCCGGGTCCGACACCATCTCGTATGTCTTCCTCAGGAACGGCGCTGGCCCCACCTCCCTCAGCCCCTCCACCGGCCTCGCCACGTCGTCCGCTGCTGCCCGCAACGAGCACGACGGCCACACGGCGGCAGCGTCAAGGACGCGATTTCTTCAAGTGATTTCGCGAAAGGTTCTGCCTTTCCTAGCTCAAAGCTCGATTCTCGAAAGAGTGTGTCGGAAAACGATAAGCGTGGTTCCTTGGTACGGCCGCCTCCGGGCGGCGGCGCGGTCGTCATTTTGACCTCCAGTTCAAGGTCAAAGGTGGAGATAGCATGAGAAATTTTCAAGCGATTGAATCCACATGGTGGCGTTTCTGTCGAGCGTGGGGGTGACAGGGGAGGAGGATGGTAAGCGGCTTTATATACGTGGGAAAATGTCCATAGAACCTGGGACGAGGTGCGCCTTTTCGCTTTTCGCTTTTCGTCCTGTGCGTGAGTGTCCATCTAAGCAATTTCAGTTGGCTCCTCGTGTGTAGGCCGTTTTATTGTACACAACATACAATGCATCGGCCAGCGAACTGAAACTGGATGGCGATGCTTTCATAATTTTCCGTCGAAAATTGTTAGAATACTCGTATGAGTGATGTTGGATAAATTTCATATAAAAAATTAGTGTGATGTGGACAGTTAATATATTTTAATTGATCCATAACTTGTTTGTTTAAGTTTTTGAGTGAATGTAGATCTAACTGAATATAATAATAGGCTCGAACTTGAGCTCGAACTTGATAATCTCCCCAATCGGTTTCTACTGTATGCTTGCAAAAGAAAAATATTGAACTTTTTTTTAAATAATATCCATTTTCAAAAAAACTAATCATATACATCCTCGAAAGAATTTCAAACTTTTCCTTATCTAGTGAATGGAGCCTTAAATTATATAGCCCCCAAAAAAAAAAAGAAAAAAAAAAGGACGAGTTCCTTAAAATCATTCGTGAAATGCATTTTTTTATCATTGTCATTAGAGTTTTCGACACTAAACATTTGTTATCGTTTGGCAGGGATTCATGTAGAGCCAAATGTAACAAAGTTGTGTCAAAATCTAAATGTTGAATTACAAGGATCCCGTGTCAAAGAAAGTGAAAGATAATTTATTAAAAGTATAACAGTGAGGAACTTGCAAACCTCGGCATTTAAGGATAATACCGCACAATATTATAGGATTAAATGCAAAATATTTAGAAGAATAATAAATTCCTTTTAATTTAACTCATTTTCCATGGCAATATTTGCTTCATCAATAACAATGGTGTTTCGCATGTCAAGGTATTAGAAATATTAAAATTGTTTTTGGTATAATTCTCAAGAGCTTGTACCGTAGAAGATCGGAATTGCTTATCTTATTTCAATTTGTGATTAAAGTGACGTAAATATCACCTTTTTGATTATTTATCTACTTTTAGATTCCTAATTTGGCTTTCCTATCTATTAAAGAATCTCTTGTCAATGGAGTTTCAACGGACTTCAAGATGATTCAAAATTGGTCTTCAAGTTGACAAGTCAAATTTGCTTGATAAAGAAGAAAACTTCACCGCCTTAGGAGTAGTATAAATAGGCATGTCCCTCCCCATTTGTGTCAACGTGTGGAAAGCCTAAGAAATAAGAGAGAGTTGAGAGTCGAGAGAAAAAGCTTGTAGAGCCAAGCTTGTATCTTCTCTGTGCAAAGCCTACGCAAAAATGCATTTTGAATATTATTCTCTCATTTGTGTATTTGTGTGCTCCTCACCAAAATCTTCAAAGTTTCTTTATATCCTTTTGGTTCCAACAATAGTTACTGTCAAACGTCGTACGATGAGAGAAAGATATTATTACCCAATCAATTCTTATCATATTTCTTTCTCATTAAGTATGTAAAATATCTTTTTTGATTATTTAACTATCTTTAGATCCCTCATTTGGCTTTTCTATCTTTAAAAGAAATCTCTTGTTTATGGAGTTTCAACGGACTTCATATTCCTATGATGTTTTGCCAAGGTTTTGGGAGAAGGGAGATGGACTGCTGCGGCAACGGTACAGGTTGGTATTGATTCCTTGATTTATTCACTGTTGACGAGTAGTTAAGTGCTTGTCTCGTGGAGCTTTAACGCACGTCGTATTCATGTTGTATGCCCATCTTTATCGGTTGGGCAGGGCTTTTTTTCCTGGACGTGAAAAAAAGTCCACGTCATTGTCCGAGGTCGAGATGAATGATGAATGTCGAGTTGCTAACTTTGATGTGGTCCGATGAAAGAGAGAATGAAATAAATGGTAGTCTTATATTTGATAGCCGCCCGACGAGCCAGCTCAAAGGCGGTGCATTCCCAGGAGAACTAAAAGACAGAAAAAGAAAGATCAAAAGGGCGAGGGGGATATAAACAGTAGGAAAAGTTGTTCCTTTTTCCTTTGATTCGTTTTGCCAAGATTTTGGGCTCTAGAAGGCGGATGGAGTTACGCGAACGACAGGTAGGGATCGATTTCTTGGGAACATCAGTTGATGCTTAGGTGATCGATACGAGGACCCAATCATCAATTGCTTTAGTTGCCATTCAAGATCTGCCCCTACTTCCACTTGCATATTCTTGCCTGGACGTGACGACCAAAAGGCTTGGAATCCCATGATTACTTATGAGGTGAATTGGAAACAAGGCTAAAGCAAACCCAACTATGTAGCTGAGCATTGGGGGAATTGACTGCAGAGGCCACCCTTCATTCTCATGACTGTTCAGTAGTTGCTGATCTATCTTGAGGCCCAGATTAGAACAGGGCAAAAAGTAGAAAGAGTGACTAAATTGTTTTTATCACTGATATATCATAACCTCACCAAATCAAATCGTGCATTTTCTTGTAGAAAGATTGGACCAATCTGGAAATCTAATTCTTTGTTTAAAGCCCTTCTTCTTTTTATGGTTTCTCTTTCTTGAGCTTGGTCGCGTGACAAGAAAATTTAGGAATATAGACTAGCCAGGAACATCCTTGCACTTTCTCAGTGAGGAAAAGATGGACGATGATCACATAATCTGAGGGTTAAGAAAAACACAAGAAGAAGTTTATTTTCGCTATGAGGAAACACACAATCAAAGCCGCTCGAAAGGGTATTAACATAGCCCCCTACACTAAATTACAAGAAGCTAATTTCGAATCATAGTGTACTGTGTCAGGAGCTTGAAAATCTTTCCTTCCTTTTGTGGCTTCGAACATGGGAACTTATAAGCTTCGTGTTCGAATTCAGAGGATCGATGCTTTCGTCAATCTTTGTGTCATTTCGTTGCTTACCTTGTTTGTACACCAGATGCACCCCACAGCTTCTTAGAGCCCCCTCCGATGCCCGGAACAGTACAGTGAATTGACTGTGATGACTCAGCAATTTTGCATCCAATCCCCACATCATTCGCCGGGGGACGTATAAAAGCCATATGTGGTCAGACTCCAACGAGGAAAAGCAATCTACACAACCATAAGTTTCTTGCTTGTTGACAAACAACTGGATCTCGCATGAAATACTGGCTTTCTTCCGATTAGCTGAATCGACAATAGCACAAAAGGCCAAGCCTGCTATGTCACGGTATGATTCTGAAAACACAGGAAACCTTATGAGTCCCCTCATGCTCTGATGGGTGAACCAGTTTGGGATCTTGCTTCTTGGATGAAAAATGTCAACCCGAGTCTCTCCAAGCAATCCCTGCAATTCGGAACATTTACAGTTTACACTTGAGAGACAAACGTGTGCATAGAGAGAGGGAGAGAGAGAGCCATGACGAATATTTACACTTGAGAGACGAACACGTGCACAGAGAGAGAGAGAGAGAGAGAGAGAGAGAGAGAGAAGACCTCAATTGACAGCATATCGTAACTACTGGAGCATTGATCCTGAAGTAGCTTATGACAGCCAGAGAAGTCAATTCGTCTGAGCCGTGGTGATTCATCTGGATTATATCGCAACATGTGCGATAAGTCTGCACATGATTCCAGCGATTCACAACCTTGTGCCTGTAAATATGTTATGTTTGGCGGGAGAGCTAGAATCTCTCGAAGCTGCTTGCAGAGCGTCAACCAAAGCTGCTGCAACTTAGTAAATTCACTGATGCAGGTAGGAAGGCTGGCAAATTTGTTCTCCGACAGTTCTAAAATTGTCAACGAGGACATGCAATGAAGATTTTTTAAGAAACTAAGCTCTGATAAGCTGCATCTTTGCAAATTCAAGTTGATAACATTCGGAAGGGCTAACGGGAGAGAGACATTGGTGCAATCACTTGATTCACACAAACATTCTGGGAACTTGCTAAGTTGTGAGCAACCATCAACAAATATAAGCTCAAGATGCTGCAGTTTATAGATGCTACAAGGAAGGTTTTTAAGGTCCGCACAGTCTCTTAAATACAACTCTTTCAGTTCAACGAGATTCATGACGGAAGAGGGTAGTTCTTCAATGGCAGTCTCATGAAGCGCAAGTGTTTTCAGACGTTTCATTGGTACAAGTATATCTGGAAACCTTGAAAGCTTTAAGCAACCTCTAAGAATCAGATCTTGAAGAGAACTCGACTTCAGACTGTTTGGGAAACAGCTAAGATTGCGGCAGTTCAAAAAGTTCAAATATACGAGCTTGTCAAGACGTCCGAGAGACTGATGAACCTCAACAAGATTGGTACACTCTTGGAGATCCAAACTCTCAAGATTTGGCAGTGACGATACATCGGGAATTTCATTCAGCAATGTACAGTGGCTGAAATTAACAGACCTCAAATTTCTAAAACGCTGCACAGTAAATGGATGATATATATAAGTAGTTTTTTCAAGATCCTCACAGTTTTATTTTTTATCTTGACAGAAGAGAATATTGCAAGTACATACCTTGAATTCCTTCCCCAATATGCGGATGCTGCTTTTACTCAGGTCTAGACCTACAAGTTTCCTGTGGCCACTTTTGCTTTTGAATGGCACCGATGGTGGAGAGTAATCGGGCCATTCCAGCCATCTTAATTCAGCGGGAAAGTATATGGGTTCACCTGAATGGTATACATTGCGAGCCAAGAAAATTCTGAGCCTTCTCATTTTTATGAAGGCTCGAGCACGAAAGTGTACTTCTTCAGGAGCAGCCAACTTGAGCATTATTGCTTCCACTTTATTAGTTCCCTGGCAGCACATATACAAGTAGACAATTTAAGTGCAAAGGTGTCTAGCTTATGCAAGGACTTAACTAGTAATAAATAGGTTTATAAATAAGATTTGGTGTGCTTCAGGTGCCTTTTGTTCTTAGCTTTCAGAATTTGCTTCCACTTCAGGATTTGACACATGAGTTTTATAAACACCTCAAATAATAAGAAAAACAAAATATTTAAGTTCTTGCAGATTTTTTAATAATTTACTTTCTGGGGAGAGGTGAATAGTACAAACCTTACATCTCAGGGTGGGATATGGAAAAAGTGATTCTTATGAGACCATCAGGCCATTATATAACTTAACAGAAAAATATTCACACACTGTTTTTAGTAGAAGGCCGAAAGTACTTTGGGAGAGGCTTTAACCCAACCAATCAGGCATATATATTGTAAAAAACAAAAGATCATGATTCAATTTATTACCGTGCCTTCTGTTAGCACATGAAGCACGTCCTCATAGAACCACAATCTGCTGCGCTCCCCAGGCTCTTTGGGAGATTCCCTACGAACAATTTCTCTTCCCATTTTCTTGAATCATATCATGCATCTCCAGCTTGCCATACTCAATGGTGATGAGCGACTTCTTTATAAGATCAGCAAATCCACTATCCGGGTAGAGATCACAGCTCTCCAAGATTTTTCTCACATAACTTATACTCTCTCCCTTGAAGAAACATGCGATGTCAAGAAAAATATCCTTGTTACAATCATCTAGACCATCAAAGCTCATTCTCAGAACACTGAAGATTTCTCTATTGAAAACACTCTTCAATTTATCTAATGCGTTTTTACATTGAAATAAGTTTCTATCTCGAAGAAAAGAACCCAAAACTTTTATAGCTAAAGGAAGTCCTTTGGTGTAATCCACTACGTTATATGAAAGCTCTTCATAATCTGGAGGAGGAGAAACATTCGGGAAAGCAAATGAACTGAAGAGCATACGAGCCGTTAAACGGTCTAATGGTTGAACCTTGTACATACTTGCTACGCCATGAGCAGCCAGTAAATGCTCATTTCTAGTCGTTATGATGATTCTACTTCCACAACCAAACCACTCATGTCCTCCAACTAGTGTTTCCAATTGGATCGACTGGTTCACATCGTCCAGGACAACGAGGACCTTTTTTCTGCAAAGTCTACTCTTTATCATGCTCATACCTCTGTGTTCATTCCCAAGCTTCAGACCATCATCCCACATTACCTCGGAAATAAGTGCCTCTTGAAGCTGAAGTAGGCCACCGCCTGCGAATTTCTCATAAGTTTCTCTAACATTGGAAAGAAAGCCGCAACACTCAAATTTGTCCGCAAAAGCATTGTAAGTAGCTTTGGCGATAGTAGTCTTCCCTATTCCTCCAAGTCCACAAATTCCGACCATGCGAACCTCATTTGATTCCATTTCTAGCAAAGTATGCATATGGGACACATGTGAATCCATGGCAACCAGGTTTTCAGGGACAGGTAACTGATCTCGATTCAGTTTGGCCCATATACTCTTCACAATGCTGTGAATGACATTAGACTCGCGCCTGGTAGATTCAAAGCATAAAGCCAATTGAGAATACTTAAGGAGATTCAAAGACATTTTGATACAGTGAGTACTAAGTTGATCTTTAACAAGATCAAGCTATGGTCAATATCTCAAATACTATAGACCAGATTAAATTCAGTTTCTAGCAATTGATATCTAAAACAGAAATGGGCTTGAAGAGGGACGCGGTCCACCTGCATGTTTACGTACTCAACGCATGACTTGCTTGTAAAGAAAATCAATTAGCTGGAATTGATCTTCTTCCCATTTTATGCATAAGGATTACCATGAATCTATTGCCAACAGTAAGCATACTCAGAAAGGAGTAAATGATAGATAGCCTTACTCGTCAACCAAATGCCAGCCAGAGATGTTAGCTGCTTCAGTCAGTGCTTCTCTCCACCTCTCCACCTTCTCCGAATCGCCGCCCTTCGACTTCAACCTCTCCTCGTGCTTGATCAGGGCTTGCCCGTACCTCCCCCTCTGCCTCCTCACCTCCGACGGATCCACCTTGTAGAACACCGGCCACACGATCTGCCCCATCGTATCCCCGCACTCCACGATCCTCACCAGCTCGTCCAAGCACCACCCAGAGGACGCGTAGTCCTCCGAGAACACGACGATGGAGATCCTCGACTCCCCGATGGCTCCGAGGATCGCCGGCGCGATCTCCTCGCCCTTCCGGAGCTCCTCCTCGTCCATGAACGCGGCGATCCCTCGCTGGTCCAGCGCCGCGTGGAGGTGGCCGGCGAAGCCGCTGCGCGTGTCCTCGCCGCGGAAGCTCAGGAACACGTCGTATCTGTATGGACAGTTGGACTCCCCGACGGCTCCGGAAATCGCCGGCGTGATCTCCTCGGCCGACGCGGCGATCGATCCACGGCCCTCGTCAAAGGATCTCAGTGACACTTCGTTGTGGTCTGGATAGTAGTCCCAAGGCATCTGATCCGCGGCGGCCGCGGTTTGACGCCTTCTGAGCCGCCGCCCAGGGCACTTGCAGAAAGTTCGGGCGAGACAGCTGGCAATCCTGCGGGGAGTTCGGGCGAGACGGCCGGCAATCTCGCGGAGAGTTCGGGCGAGACGGCCGGCCATCTCTAAATGGAATGTATCAGTGTACGTAGGAGACGAGGCAACGACTAAGGATTTCCTTTATGTACCCAGAGCAAGGAATTGATCACAAGACGCATTCTTAGGCGGGTTCTTTTAAAGTGTAATATTTTCACCAGGTCAAAGGAGGCCCCAAAAAACATAGAAAAAAAAAAAAGGAAAGGAGGAGATATTTTAAGGGAAAAGTGGACGATTTTGAGGCCGAGAGCAGCGCACGGTAGGAACGAGGAAAAGAGAAAGAAAAAGAGGAGCCAAGGGAAAGAAAGGAGTAGGAAGGAAAAAGAGGAAGAAGGAGGTTTCGTGTATACCCCCCCGCCAAGTCTTTGTCGAGTTAGATGGATAAGTCTGCTGCGAGCTGCGAGGTTTGACGGGGATAGATTTGAAGTAACAGTTTAGTCGGAGCAAAATTATAAAGTTTCGTACTAAGCTCTGCATTGCGGATTGCTTTGAATATCTCTTTCGGACGAGAGTGTTGTTAGCGTGGAGGAGTCATTTCGTTAGCGAGTAAGCTTGGTTTGGCCGATTCGTAATTGAGGTAGATTTTGAGGTTTCTTGCTTATTTGATACGATTGTGAGTTCGATAATTCGAGTAACCCTCATTGTTTGGTTTTTGGTCATTTCAGGCGTATGGTACTATCTCTTTTATGAATCTATAAACTCATGTCTTAAAAACGATAGAGATTCGATATATTATGAATTATGAAATAACATATTTGTTGCAAAAAATTTGGATCGGGCATTTACTACTTTTCGGTTATTTGTAAATGGTTTGGGCAATGTTTTATGAAAGAAGTTTTGAAAGATTGTACATATTTATTTGTGAATCTGGTGTACGAAATGAAATCCGAAATGGTTTGAGATGTCTTGTGAAATACATTCTATTTGATAAATTGAGTTGTGAAAGGAATTACAAAAATGTTATATGTATTGATTTGTGAAATGCTTCATGAAATGCATTTTACTTGATAAATGGAATTAAGGAAGATTACATGGTTCAATTTGTGATTTGCTTGATCCGCTTAGAAGAGATATGCGAAAATCACCGAGAAGTGGTTGCTCACCCATTCATTCCAATCTTTTTCAGGTTCTTCAACTAGCGATGAATGGAAACTTTTGGTAGTTGAATTGTGTGTATGAATATAGATAGTTGGATATGACTGAAATTGTAGCTGATGAGGTTTAGTTTCTTAATTTGGGAAATAATATATATTGTTAATGGATTTTAGAACTCTCATCTCGTAACTAGATAATCTATCTTAAGATCCTTAATATGGCTTTATATGGTTTCAATGGACTTATATTCGTGTAATCTTTGTTCACTTATCATTTTAAATTTTTGAATTGGATTTTTTAATACTGTCTTAGAGTCAAACTCTGCCTCAAATTATTTCACTTGTAACGAGTACCCATTGCTTGTCCGTGGAGTTTTAATGCACACTTTATTTAGGAAAAATGACACAAGAAGTGACATAACTTTCGTACATCATTCACTTTCAATAAATCACTTCAATGCCACTTTGTAAAAAAAATTGATCCCTTAAATGCTATCGCCAATTTGTGATGCCGCAAATCCAACGTAAACGTGACTTGCCGGAAATTCAACATGGCAATATTTCAGCAAAATGCCTTAAAGCCTTCACTAAACCCTAATTCAGAATTGGACACAAATATAGCCAATTTCCCCCTCTTCTTCAAACCCTAATTCAGATCGGGCATTTGGGGGCGAAATTAAGAGCCGAAACTTGCAATGGAGAAGAGCAGGACAACCCACAAGAACGCGTCGTCTAACACATGTTTGCCCCAAATTCAGACTTTTTTCAAACCCTAATCTAACAATCGAGTATTTGGGGACAAATTAATTTCTTCTTCAAACCCTAACCACCCCAGTCAAGGATTTGGGGCAAAATTAGTAACTGAAACTTGCAATGGAGGTCTGCTACTCTCTTTATTTGGTCGATGGGTCTGCTACTTCATTTGTGTGATTTTGTTTCGCCGGAATTGAAATTTCCCAGTGGAAGAGAACCTCCAACATTTTATTTTGCTCTGCCCAAGCTTGTTCAGTGAGCAGAGTAGAGAGACAAGGGACAAAGAAAGGATTAAAAAAAGAAAGAAATTTACACGAGCATGAGAGAAGATGTACCAAGAAAGAGTGAGATCTCCCTTCCAATAGCTAGAAGTTCGCTGGTTTATCTGCCACAAGGCGAGACAGAGGAGGGAGAGCAAACTAGAGAGGATAAGCTTTAACGTGAAACGGGGCCGTTTTGTACAGAAGGGCCGGCCATTGTCCACGTTGGACTTCTTTTTTTTTTTTTTTATAGAAAAGCCGCATGAATTAAAATTTTATAAAAAAAATCGCGTAGGACAAATCGCCGGAATTTATTGCTAGGGGCACTTAAGTGATCATTTTTTTACCGATGCGACATTCAAGCGACCGCTCGAAAAATTTCGGCACTGAAATAATCGCTGTACCCAAATTATAGCAGTTTTATTATCATTTTCTCCTTTTAGTCACTAGTGACTTGCTATTTATTAGTTTGAAATTTTGGATTGGTCTTTATTTCTTTGAAAACTGTCTAAGAGCATCATTTGAGGGTGAGATGAATCACAAATGTTAAAACTTGTCACAAAAATGTAATTGAGTCATAAAACATTCAAAAAGTGCAATTTAGTCTTAAAACTTATCAAATTAGTGTAATAAAGTTCTTATGTTTACTCCGTCTAACTTGCCTAACGGAAAATGCTGACGTAACTTTTTTTTATTTATTATTTTCTTTTTCCTACAGGACGCTGACGTGGCTAAAACATGAAGTATAAGGCTAAAACTACGTTGTTTTGTTCCAAACCTGATTTTTTTAATACAAATTTCATTTTTATTATAATGAAGAATAAGCTAACTTAAAAAAAACACAAAAAATAAACAATAAAAGATAACGGAAGGACTTGATTGTACCAATTTAAAAAAAATTAGGATTTAATTGTATTTTTTGAAAGTTTGAGAACTCAATTGCACTTTCGTAACAAATTTTAGAACTTTCAGGAAACTTCACCCAAAAATAAATAAAATAAACTAGTGAGGAAGTAGCCACCCAATGAGTGAGCTCCCCACGGTGCATTCGCAGGAAAATTAAGGCTTTGTTTATTTCATGAAAAATGAATGATTTGGAAAACATTCTTCCTAAAAACGATCGCTTGTATCGTTTACAAAAATGAATGAACAAAAAAATTACTTCTATTTTCCACAAAAATATTTAGACATAAGTTGATGTCAATCATGAAAATATTTCTCATTGATAAATTATTCCAAGCGATACAAAAAATCATTTTTAGGAAAATATTTTTTAAATTATTTATTTTTCGAGAAATAAACGGAACGTCAAAAATCAAAAGGTCTTGAGAAAAACTGAGAATCCATAACAAAGATGTTGGGAAAGGGACAATAGAAAATCTTCCCACTTCCAATGAAAGTTGCCATCAAGATTGGGTCGATTTGGAAATTCTAATTCTTTGTTCAAAGCACTTCTTCTTTCTTTGGGTTCTCTTTCTTGGGCTTGGTCTTGATACGGGTCGACAATAAAATTTAGGAATATTGACTAGACAGGAACATCCCTGAACTTTCTTAGTGAGGGAAAGATGGAAGATTGATTACATAATCTGAGGGTCAAGAAAAACACTACAGCAAGTTTACAATCAGAGCCCCTAGAAAGAGTATTAACATAACCCCCTACCTAAATCACAAGAAAGCTAATTTTGAATCATAGTGTACTGCATTAGGAGTCTGAAAATCTTCCCTTCCTTTAGCAGCTTTGAGCACGGGAACTCATAAGGTTCATGTTCGAATTCAGAGGATCGACACTTTCGTAAATTTCCGTGTCATTTGGTTGCTTACCTTGTTTGTACACCAAATGCGCCCCACAGCTTCTTAGAGTCCCCTCCAATGCCCGGAACAGTACAGTAAATCGACTGCAATGACTCAGCAATTTTGCGTCCAATCCCCACATCATTCGCCGGGGAACGTATAAAAGCCATATATGGTCAGACTCCAACGAGGAAAAACAATCTACACAACCATAAGTTTCTTGCTTGTTGACAAACAACTGGATCTCGCATGAAATACTGGCTTCCTTCCGATTAGCTGAACCGACAATAGCACAAAAGGCCAAGCCTGCTATGTCACGGTATGATTCTGAAAATACAGGAAACCTTATGAGTCCTCTCGTGCTTTGATGGGCGAACCACTTTGGGATCTTGCTTCCTGGATAAAAAATGTCAACCCGAGTCTCTCCAAGCAATCCCTGCCATGCCAAACATTTACACTTGAGACACAAACACGTGCACATACAGAGAGAGAGAGAGAGAGAGAGAGACCTCAATTGAAAGCATATTGCAATTGCTGGAGCATTGATCCTGAATCAGCTTCTGACAGCTAGAGAAGTCAATTCGTCTGAGCCAAGGTGATTCATCTGGATTATATCGTAACACGTCTGATAAGTCCGCACATGTTTCTAGCGATTCACAGCCTTTTGCATGTAAAAATGTTATGTTTGGCGGGAGAGCTAGAATCTCTCGAAGCTGCTTGCAGTGTGTCAAACAAAGCTGCTGCAACTTAGTAAATTGACTGATGCAGGTGGGAAGGCTGACAAATTTGTTCTCTGACAGATCTAAAATTGTCAACGAGGAGATGCAATGAAGATTTTTCAAGAAACCAAGCTCTGATAAGCTGCATCTTTGCATATTCAAGTTGATAACGCTTGGAAGGGCTAACGGGAGAGAGACATTGGTGCAATCACTTGATTCACACAAACATTCCGGGAACTTGTTAAGTTGTGAGCAACCATCAACAAAAATACGCTCAAGATGCTGCAGTGTATAGATGCTACAAGGAAGGTTTTTAAGGTCCGCACAGTCTCTTAAATACAACTCTTTTAGTTCGACGAGATTCGCAAAAGAAGAGGGTAGTTCTTCAATGGCAGTCTCATGAAGCGCAAGTGTTTTCAGACGTTTCACTGGTACAAGAATATCTGGAAACCTCGAAAGCTTTGAGCAATCTCTAAGAATCAAACTTTCAAGAGATCTTGACTTCATAATGCTGGGGAAACAGCTAAGATTGCAGCAGTTCAAAAAGTTCAAATATACGAGCTTGTCAAGACGCCCAAGAGACTGATGAACCTCAACAAGATTGGAGCACTCTTGGAGATCCAAACTCTCAAGATTTGGCAGTGACGATACATCGGGAATTTCACTCAGCAATGTACAGTGGCTGAAATTAACAGACCTCAAATTTCTAAAAAGCTGCACAGTAAATAATGATATGTATAAGTAGTTTTCTCAAGATCTTCACAGTTTAATTTTTCATCTTGACAGAAGAGAATATTGCAAGTACGTACCTCGAATTCCTTCCCCAATATGCGGATGCTGCTTTTACTCAGGTCTAGGCCTACAAGTCTCCTGTCTAGGCCTGTATTGAATGGCTCCGATGGTGGAGAGTAATCGGGCCATTCCAGCCATCTTAATTGAGCGGGAAAGTTTATGGGAACACCTGAATGGTATACATTGCGAGCTGAGAAAATTCTGAGCCTTTTCATGTTTCTGAAGGCTCGAGCACTAAAGTGTACTTCTTCAGGAGCAGCCAACTTGAGCATTATTGCTTCCACTTTATTAGTTCCCTGGCAGCACATATATGAGTAGACGATTTAAGTGCAAAGGTGTATAGGTTATGCAACGACTTAACTAGTAACAAATAAGATTTGGTGTGCTTCGGGTGCCTTTTGTTCTTAGCTTTCAGAATTTGCTTCCACTTCAGCATTTGACACATGAGTTTTATAAACACCTCAAATAATAAAAAAAACAAAATATTTAAGTTCCTGCAGATTTTTTAATAATTTACTTTCTGGGGAGAGGTGAATAGTAAAAACCTTACATCTCAGGGTGGGATATGGAAAAACTGATTGTTATGGGACCATCATACTTAGCAGAAAAATATTCACACGCTTTTTTTAGTACAAGGCCAAAAGTACTTTGGAAGAGGCTTTAACCCTACCAAACAGGCATACATATTGTCAAAAAACAAAAGATCATGATTCAGCTTATTACCGTGCCTTCTGTTAGAACATGAAGCACATCCTCATAGAACCACAATCTGCTGCGCTCCCCTGGCTCTTTGCGAGATTCCTTCCGAACAATTTCTCTTCCCATTTCTTGAATCATATCATCCATCTCCAGCTTCCCATACTCAATAGTGATGAGCGACTTTTCTATAAGAACATCAATTCCGATATCCGGGTAGAGATCACAGCTCTCCAAAATTTTTCTCACATAACTTATACTCTCTCCCTTGACAAAACATGCGATGTCAAGAAAAATATCCTTCTCACAGTCATCTAGACTGTCAAAGCTTATTTTCAGCACATCGAAGATTTCTCCATTGAAAACACTCTTCAATTTATCTAATGTGTCTTTCCATTGAAATAATTTTCTATCTTTAAGAGAAGAACCCAAAACTTTAATAGCTAAAGGAAGTCCTTTGGTGTAATCCACTATGCTGTATGAAAGCTCTTCATAATCTGGAAGGGGAGAAAAATCCTTGAAAACAATTGACTTGAAGAGCATACGAGCCTTTGAACGATCTAATGGTCGAACCTTGTATATACTGTCTACGCCATGACGAGCCAGTAAACGTTCATCTCTAGTCGTTATGATGATTCTACTCCCACAACCAAACCAATCACGTCCTCCAACTAGGTTTTTCAATTCCTCCAACAGCTTCACATCGTCGATGACAATGAGGACCTTTTTTTTGCAAAGTCTACTCTTTATCATGCTCACACCTCTGTGAACATTGCCAAGCTTCAGAGCATCATCCCACATTACCTGAGAAACAAGTGTCTCTTGAAGCTGAAGTAGGCCGTCTGCGGATTTCTCGCAAGTTTCTCTAACATTGAAAAGAAAGCTGCGACACTCAAATTTGTGCGAAAAAGCATTGTAAGTAGCTTTGGCGATAGTCGTCTTCCCTATTCCTCCAAGTCCGCAAATTCCGACCATGCGGACCTCATTTGATTCCATGTCTAGCAAAGTATGCATATGGGACACATGCGAATCCATGGCAACCAGGTTCTCAGGGACAGGTAACTGATTGCGATTCAGCTCGGCCCATATACTCTTGACAATGCTGTGAATGACGTCAGACTCGCGCCTGATAGATTCAAAGCATAAAGGCAATTGAGAATACTTAAGGAGATTCAAAGAGATTTAATATAGTGAGTGCTAAGTTGATCTCCAATAAGATCAAGCTGCTGTCAATATCTCAAATACTATAGACCAGATTAATTTCAGTTTCCAGCAATTAATCAGATACCTAAAAAACGAAGGTACAGGAATCAACTTTCTGGATACCTAATTAATCAGATAAAAACTCAGTCAGCCTTAAGTTCAATCACGAACAGATCACTACTAAGACAACGAAAAAAATTCCCTCACTTTTCCTTTTCCCCCAACTAGCGTGAATTGATGTCGTGTCCTTTTATGCATAAGCACTACCATGAATTTCCGTAGTCAACAGCTAGAACAGTAATTTTTGCGAAAAACAAGCGGTACGCAAACTCAGAAAGGAGTAAATGATGGATAGGCTTACTCGTCAACCAAATGCCAGCCTGAGATGTTAGCTGCTTTGGTCAGTGCTTCTCTCCACCTCTCCACCTTCTCCGAATCGCCGCCCTTCGACTTCAACCTCTCCTCGTGCTTGATCAGGGCTTGCCCGTACCTCCCCCTCTGCCTCCTCACGTCCGACGGATCCACCTTGTAGAACACCGGCCACACGATCTGCCTCATCGTATCCATGCACTCCACGATCCTCACCAGCTCGTCCAAGCACCAGCCAGAGGACGCGTAGTCCTCCGAGAACACGACGATCGAGATCCCCGACTCCCCGATGGCTCTGAGGATCGCCGGCCCGATCTCCTCGCCCTTCCGGAGCTCCTCGTCGTCCATGAACGCGGCGATCCCTCGCTGGTGCAGCGCCGCGTGGAGGTGGCTGACGAAGCCGTTGCGGGTGTCCTCGCCACGGAAGCTCAGGAACACGTCGTATCTGTATGGACAGCTGGACTCCCCGACGGCTCCGGAAATCGCCGGCGTGATCTCCTCGGCCGACGCGGCGATCGATCCATGGCCCTCGTCAAACGAGCTCAGTGACACTTCGTTGTCGTCTGGATAGTCCCAAGGCATCCGGCTCCTGGAGTTCAGTCTCCAGCGAACGGAGGCCTTTGTGGGACGGTCGGCCTTAATGCAGAAAGTTCGGGCGAGACGGCCGGCAATCCTGCGGAGAGTTCGGGCGAGACAGTCGGCCATCTCTAAATGGAATGTATCAGTGTAGGAGACGAGCCAACGACTAAGGATTTCCTTTATGTGCCCAGAGCAAGGAATTGATCACAAAACGCACTCTTAGGCGGAGTCTTTGAAGTGTAATATTTTTCACTTAGGTCAAAAGAGGCCCAAAAATACAGAAATAGAAAAAAAGGAAAGGAAGAGATATTTTAAGGGAAAAGTGGACGACTATAGGTGCGCATGACAATCATTCTGTGCCCGAGAACTATTTCTACTCAGAAATAATTCTTTTTGATTCTGTGCCCGGAAACAATTTCTGAGCATTTGAAGGCGTTTGGTAACTATACAAAATTTCTATTCCTAAGATAGAAAAGAACAGAAATACGTTTGGTAACTACACAAAATTTTATTTTATTAATAATATTTTAAATTGTTTAATATTTTTTTTCTTTTTTTTTTCTTTCTACCCTTCCCTTCTTTGGCTATGGCCGGCGTCGCCGCGCGGCGACCGGCCACGAGCCGTGGCGTCACGGCCCTCGCCGCCCCGCCGCCTCGCTTCACCGCCGGCCTCGCCCCGCATCAGCGACGCGACGGCGAGGTCGATTTCGGCCAGGTGGGTCGCGACAGGCGAGGCCGACTCACCGTGGGTCGCGACGGCGAGGCTCGGCCTTGCCCAGATCGGGCGAGGCCGAGCCTCGCCGTCGCGACCCACCTGCCGGCCGACCTTGCCGGGCAAGCCGCGACGGCGAGGCTCGGCCTCGCCCGATCTGGGCATGGCCGACCTCGCCATGATCGACGGCGAGCCGTCTCGCCCAAGCGGCGAGGGTCCAGCCCTCACCCTCACCCGCGAGAGCCGTGACGCCCTCGTAGGCCCTGGGCTATGGCCGGTCGCCGGCGACCGGTAGACCTGTTAAACGGGTGGGTTGGGTCGGGTTTGGGTCGGGTCATAAATGGTCCTATCCAAATTGACCCATTAACCCGTTTATAACCCATTTATTCATAGTATAAATATCTCGACCCATACACAACCCGACCCATACCCAACACATACCCGACCCGACCCATATTACTAAAACACTTTTATATTTTACCTAATCTAGGAATACTTGTTTCTTATGATTTTTTTTTAAATTATAATGCTAAAACATTTTATGCAATACAAAGTTAATGAAAAAATTTTATAATTTTTTTTAAAATTGAGGTTCTGTTTGTTTTACGAAAAATGCGACATTTCTAGAAAATATTTTCCATAAAGTCATTATCCAAGAAAATAAAAAAAAAATTAATATTTTTTTATTTTTTAAATCGAATTTTTATTTATTTATTTATTTTTAATTTTTTCTTTTTCCTTTATTTTTGGCCGATCACCGGCCGCCGTGGCCGGCGACCGACCACAAGCGAGGACGAGCTCGCCGGAGGCCGGCGAAACTCGTTCTCGCCAATCTGGCGAGGCTCCAGCCTCACCGATCTGGCGAGACTTGAGCTCACCGGACTCGGGCAACTTTTTTTTACTTCTTGTTTCTCTTCTAAAACTGTTTCTGAGCACAAATTTTTGTAAAAATGTGCCCGGGAACAAAAAGTTTACCAAACGCATTTCTGCTCTCAAATTATTTCTAGAAACAAAAGAACAGAAATTTTCACTGTTTGACACGTTACCAAACGGGCCCTATGAGGCCGAGAGCAGCGCACGGTAGGAACGAGGAAAAGAGAAAGAAAAAGAGGAGCAAAGGGAAAGCAAGGAAAGGAAGGAAAAAGAGGAAGAAGGGGGTTTCGTGTATACCCCCACCAAGTCTTTGTCAAGTCAGATCGACAAGGTATGGCAATGTCCGGTAAGAGTTCAGGCCCTTCATCCGCTTAATAAGAATAATTTTTGAAATTACAACACAATTTCAAAATTATGTAAAATTTGAACTGCGCGGTTCGATTTTTGAATTATTAAGCTAAGAGATTTAATGAATATGGTAGATAAGTCTACTGTGAGTCATGTGGTTTGACGGAAATCGATTTGGAATAACGGTTTAATCGGAGCAAAATTCTAAAGTTTCGTACTCAAGCTCCACATTGCGGGTTGCTTTGAATATCTCTTTTGGATGAGAGTGTTGTTAGTGCGTAGGAATCATTTCGTTAGCGAGTAAGCATGGTTTGGCCAATTCGTAATTGAGGTAGATTTTGAGGTTTCTTACTTATTTGATAGGATTATGAGTTCGATGATCCGAGTAACCTTCAGTGTTTGGTTTTTGGTCATTTCAGGTGCATGGTGCTATCTTTTCTACGAATCTGTAAACTCATGTCTTGAAAATGATAGAGATTCGATATATTATGAGTTATGAAATAGCATATTTGTTGCAAAAAATTTGAATTGGGCATTTACTACTTTTCAGTTATTTGTAAATGGTTTGGGCAACATTTTATGAAAGATGTTTTGAAAGGTTATACATATTTATTTGTGAATCTGGTGTACGAAATGAATTCCGAAATGGTTTGAGATGTCTTGTGAAATACATTCTATTTGATAAATTGAGTTGTGAAAGGAATTACAAAAAGGTTATATGTATTGATTTGTGAAATGCTTCATGAAATGTATTTTACTTGATAAATGGAATTAAGGAAGATTACATGATTCAATTTGTGATTTGCTTGATCTGCTTAGAAGAGATATGCGGAAATCACTGAGTTGTGGTTGCTCACCCATTCATTCGAATCTTTTTCAGGTTCTTCATCTAGCGATGAATAGTACGAGAGCGATATCGATAGGAAACTTTTGGTAGTTGAATTGTGTGTATGAATATAGATAGTTGGGTATATCTGAAATTGTAGCTAATGAGGTTTAGTTTCTTAATTTGGGAAATAATATATATTGTTAATGGATTTTAGAACTCTCGTCTCGTAACCAGATAATCTATCTTAAGATCCTTAATATGGTTTCGTATGGTTTCAATGGACTTATATTCGTGTAATCTTTGTTCACTTATCATTTTAAGTTTTTGAATTGGATTTTTTTAATACGGTATTAGAGTCAAATTCTGCCTCAAATTATTTCATTTGTAATGAGTACCCATTGCTTGTCCGTGGAGTTTTAATGCACACTTTATTTAGGAAAAATGATATTAGAAGTGACATAACTTTCGTACAATGTTCAATTTCAATGAATCACTTCAGTGCCACTTTGCAAAAAAAAAAAAGCGATCTCTTAAGTGCTATCGCCAATTTGTGATACCGTAAATGCAACGTAGACGTGACTTGCCGGAAATTCGATGTGGCAATATTTCAGCAAAAATGCCTTAAAGCCTTCACTAAACCCTAATTCAGAATTGGAGACAAATACAGCCAATTTCCCCCTCTTCTTCAAACCCTAATTCAGCTCGCCTCACCGGAGCTGGGCCCTCGCCGGCGAGCCTCCCCCCTGGCCGGACAGGCCAGGGGGGAGAAGGAAAAGAAAAAAAAATTCGAAAATAATAATAAAAATTATTAAAATATTGCCACGTGGACACCGGCCGGCGCCACGTCAGCCGACCGGCGGCCACGTCAGCGCCGGCCGGCCAAAAGGACTGAATTGGCTGGTTTGCAAAAGGTTTAGGACTGAATTGGCCAAATTGAAAGGTTTAGGACTGAATTGGCACAAATGCAATAGGTTGAGGACTGAATTGGTAATTTTCCCGAGAATAAGCTTTAACGTGAAACAGGGCCGTTTTGTACAGAAGGGCTGGCCATTGTCCACGTTGGACTTCCTTTTTTAAAAAAAAAAAAAAAGCCGCAGGAATTAAAATTTTATAAAAAAAATCAAGTAGACAAATCGCCGGAATTTGTTGCTAGAGATACTTAAGTGATCATTTTTTTATCGATGCGACATTCAAGTGACCGCTCGAAAAATTTCGGCACTGAAATAATCGCTGTACCCAAATTATAGCAGTTTTATTATCTTTTTCTCCTTTTATTTACTAGTGACTTGCTATTTATTAGTTTGAAATTTTGGATTGGTCTTTATTTCTTTGAAAACTGTCTAAGAGCATCATTTGAGGGTGAGATGAATCACAAATGTTAAAACTTGTCACAAAAATGTAATTGAGTTATAAAACATTCAAAACGTGTAATCAAATCTTAAAACTTATCAAATTAGTGTAATAAAGTTCTTCTGTTTACTCCGTCCAACTTGCCTAACGGAAAATACTGACGTAGCTTTTATTTATTTATTTTTTTCTCTTTCCTACATGACGTTGACGTGGCTAAAACATGAAATATAAGGCTAAAACGACGTTATTTTGTTCCAAACATGATTTTTTTAATACAAATTTCATTTTAATTATAATGAACAATAAGCTAATTTTAAAAAACACAAAAAAATAAACAACAAAAGATAACGGAAGGACTTAATTGTACCAATTTAAAAAGTTTTAGGACTTAATTATACTTTTTGAAAATTTGAGAACTTAATTGCACTTTCGTAATAAATTTTAGAACTTTCAGGAAATTTCTCCCAAAAATAAATAAAATAAACTAGTGAGCAAGTGGCCACCCAATGAGTGAGCTCCCCATGGTGCATTTGCACGAAAATTAAGGCTTTATTTATTTCATAAAAAATGAATGATTTAGAAAACATTCTTCCTAAAAATAATCGCTTGTATCGTTTACAAAAATAAATGAATAAAAAAATTATTTCTATTTTCCACAAAAATGTTTAGACATAAGTTGATGTCGATCATGAAAATATTTCTCATTGATAAATTATTCCAAGAGATACAAAAAATCATTTTTAGGAAAATATTTTTTAAATTATTTATTTTTCGCGAAACAAACGAAGCGTCAAAAATCAAAAGGTCTTGAGGAAAACTGAGAATCCATAACTAAGATGTTGGGAAAGGGACGATAGAAAATCTTCCCACTTCCAATGAAAGTTGCCAACAAGATTGGGCCGATTTGGAAATTCTAGTTCTTTGTTCAAAGCACTTCTTCTTTCTTGGGGTTCTCTTTCTTGGGCTTGGTCTTGATACGGGTCGACAATAAATTTTAGGAATATTGACTAGACAGGAACATCCCTGAACTTTCTTAGTGAGGGAAAGATGGAAGATTGATTACATAATCTGAGGGTCAAGAAAAACACTACAGCCAGTTTACAATCAGAGCCCCTAGAAAGAGTATTAACATAACCCCCTACCTAAATCACAAGAAAGCTAATTTTGAATCATAGTGTACTGCATTAGGAGTCTGAAAATCTTCCCTTCCTTTAGCAGCTTTGAGCACGGGAACTCATAAGGTTCATGTTCGAATTCAGAGGATCGACACTTTCGTAAATTTCCGTGTCATTTGGTTGCTTACCATGTTTGTACACCAAATGCGCCCCACAGCTTCTTAGAGTCCCCTCCGATGCCTGGAACAGTACAGTAAATTGACTGCAATGACTCGGCGATTTTGCTTCCAATCCCCACATCGTTTGCCGGGGAACGTATAAAAGCCATATATGGTCAGACTCCAACGAGGAAAAACAATCTACACAACCATAAGTTTCTTGCTTGTTGACAAACAACTGGATCTCGCATGAAATACTGGCTTCCTTCCGATTAGCTGAACCGACAATAGCACAAAAGGCCAAGCCTGCTATGTCACGGTATGATTATGAAAATACAGGAAACCTTATGAGTCCTCTCGTGCTTTGATGGGCGAACCACTTTGGGATCTTGCTTCCTGGATAAAAAATGTCAACCCGAGTCTCTCCAAGCAATCCCTGCCATGCCAAACATTTACACTTGAGACACAAACACGTGCACATAGAGAGAGAGAGAGAGAGAGAGAGAGAGAGAGAGAGAGACCTCAATTGAAAGCATATTGCAATTGCTGGAGCATTGATCCTGAATCAGCTTCTGACAGCTAGAGAAGTCAATTCGTCTGAGCCAAGGTGATTCATCTGGATTATATAGTAACACGTCTGATAAGTCCGCACATGTTTCCAGCGATTCACAACCTTTTGCATGTAAAAATGTTATGTTTGGCGGGAGAGCTAGAATCTCTCGAAGCTGCTTGCAGTGCGTCAAATAAAGCTGCTGCAACTTAGTAAATTGACTCATGCAGGTAGGAAGGCTGACAAATTTGTTCTCCGACAGATCTAAAATTGTCAACGAGGACATGCAATGAAGATTTTTCAAGAAACTAAGTTCTGATAAGCTGCATCTTTGCATTTTCAAGTTGATAACGCTCGGAAGGGCTAACGGGAGCGAGACATTGGTGCAATCACTTGATTCACACAAACATTCCGGGAACTTGCTAAGTTGTGAGCAACCATCAACAAAAATACGATCAAGTTGCTGCAGTGTATAGATGCTACAAGGAAGGTTTTTAAGGTCAGTGCAGTCTGATAGATACAACTCTTTCAGTTCGATGAGATTAGCGACAGAGGAGGGTAGTTCTTCGATGGCAGTCTCATAAAGCACAAGTTCTTTGAGACGTTTCACTTGTACAAGCATATCTGGAAACCTTGAAAGCTTTATGCAACCTCTAATAATCAGATTTTCAAGAGATCTTGAATTCAGACGGCTTGGGAAACAGCTAAGATTGCAGCAGTTCAAAAAGTTCAAATGTACGACCTTTTCAAGACGCCCAAGAGACTGATGAACCTCAACAAGATTGGTGCACTCTCGGAGATCCAAACTCTCAAGATTTGGCAGAGATGATACATCGGGAATTTCTCTCAGCAATGTACAGTGACTGAAATTAACAAACCTCAAATTTCTAAAAAGCTGCACAGTAAATGGATAACACATATAAGTAGTTTTTTCAATATCTTCACAGTTTTATCTATTACCTTGACAGAAGAGAATATTGCAAGTACATACCATAAAACACTTATGAGTCCCCTCCGATGCCTGGAACAGTACAGTAAATTGACTGCAATGACTCAGCGATTTTGCTTCCAATCCCCACATCGTTTGCCGGGGAACGTATAAAAGCCATATATGGTCAGACTCCAACGAGGAAAAACAATCTACACAACCATAAGTTTCTTGCTTGTTGACAAACAACTGGATCTCGCATGAAATACTGGCTTCCTTCCGATTAGCTGAACCGACAATAGCACAAAAGGCCAAGCCTGCTATGTCACGGTATGATTCTGAAAATACAGGAAACCTTATGAGTCCTCTCGTGCTTTGATGGGCGAACCACTTTGGGATCTTGCTTCCTGGATAAAAAATGTCAACCCGAGTCTCTCCAAGCAATCCCTGCCATGCCAAACATTTACACTTGAGACACAAACACGTGCACATAGAGAGAGAGAGAGAGAGAGAGAGAGAGCTCAATTGAAAGCATATTGCAATTGCTGGAGCATTGATCCTGAATCAGCTTCTGACAGCTAGAGAAGTCAATTCGTCTGAGCCAAGGTGATTCATCTGGATTATATAGTAACACGTCTGATAAGTCCGCACATGTTTCCAGCGATTCACAACCTTTTGCATGTAAAAATGTTATGTTTGGCGGGAGAGCTAGAATCTCTCGAAGCTGCTTGCAGTGCATCAAATAAAGCTGCTGCAACTTAGTAAATTGACTCATGCAGGTAGGAAGGCTGACAAATTTGTTCTCCGACAGATCTAAAATTGTCAACGAGGACATGCAATGAAGATTTTTCAAGAAACTAAGTTCTGATAAGCTGCATCTTTGCATTTTCAAGTTGATAACGCTCGGAAGGGCTAACGGGAGCGAGACATTGGTGCAATCACTTGATTCACACAAACATTCCGGGAACTTGCTAAGTTGTGAGCAACCATCAACAAAAATACGATCAAGTTGCTGCAGTGTATAGATGCTACAAGGAAGGTTTTTAAGGTCAGTGCAGTCTGATAGATACAACTCTTTCAGTTCGACGAGATTCACAAAAGAAGAGGGTAGTTCTTCGATGGCAGTCTCATGAAGCACAAGTGTTTTCAGACGTTTCACTGGTACAAGAATATCTGGAAACCTTGAAAGCTTTGAGCAACCTCTAAGAATCAGACTTTCAAGAGATCTTGACTTCAGACTGCTGGGAAACAGCTAAGATTGCAGCAGTTCAAAAAGTTCAAATATACGAGCTTGTCAAGACGACCAAGAGACTGATGAACCTCAACAAGATTGGAGCACTCTTGGAGATCCAGACTCTCAAGATTTGGCAATGACGATACATCGGGAATTTCACTCAGCAATGTACAGTGGCTGAAATTAACAGACCTCAAATTTCTAAATAGCTGCACAGTAAATAATGATACGCATAAGTAGTTTTTCCAAGATCTTCTCAGTTTAATTTTTCATCTTCACAGAAGAGAATATTGCAAGTACATACCTCGAATTCCTTCCCCAATATGCGGATGCTGCTTTTACTCAGGTCTAGTCGTACAAGTCTCCTGTATAGGCCTCTATTGAATGGCCCCGATGGTGGAGAGTAATCGGGCCATTCCAGCCATCTTAATTGAGCGGGAAAGTACATGGGATGACCTGAATTGTATACATTGCGAACTGAGAAAATTCTGAGCCTTCTCATGTTTCTGAAGGCTAGAGCACTAAATTTTACTTCTTCACGTGCAGCCAACTTGAGCATTATTGCTTCCACTTTATTAGTTCCCTGGCAGCACATATATGAGTAGACAATTTAAGTGCAAAGGTGTATAGGTTATGCAAGGACTTAACTAGTAACAAATAAGATTTGGTGTGCTTCAGGTGCCTTTTGTTCTTAGCTTTCAGAATTTGCTTCCACTTCAGGATTTGACACATGAGTTTTATAAACACCTCAAATAATAAAAAAAAACAAAATATTTAAGTTCCTGCAGATATTTTAATAATTTACTTTCTGGGGAGAGGTGAATAGTACAAACCTTACATCTCAGGGTGGGATATGGAAAAAGTCATTCTTATGAGACCATCAGGCCATTATATTACTTAAAAGAAAAATATTCACACACTGTTTTTAGTAGAAGGCTGAAAGTACTTTGGAAGAGGCTTTAACCCAACCAATCAGGCATTTATATTGTAAAAAACAAAAGATCATGATTCAATTTATTACCGTGCCTTCTGTTAGAACATGAAGCACATCCTCATAGGACCACAATCTGCTGCGCTTCCCAGGCTCTTTGGGAGATTCCCTACGAACAATTTCTCTTCCCATTTCTTGAATCATATCATGCATCTCCAGCTTGCCATACTCAATGGTGACGAGCGACTTATCTATAAGAACAGCAAATCCACTATCTGGGTAGAGATCACAGCTCTCCAAGATTTTTCTCACATAACTTATACTCTCTCCCTTGAAGAAACATGCGATGTCAAGAAAAATGTCCTTCTCATAATCATCTAGACCATCAAAGCTCATTCTCAGAACACTGAAGATTTCTCCATTGAAAACTTTCTTCAATTTATCTAATCCGCTTTTCCATTCAAGTAAGCTTCTACCTCGAAGAAAAGAACCCAAAATTCTAATAGCTAATGGAAGTCCTTTGGTGTAATAAACTACACTATATGAAAGCTCTTCATAATCTGGAGGAGGAGAAAATTTCTGAAAAACAATTGAACTGAAGAGCATACGAGCCGTTGAATAATCTAATGGTTGAACCTTGTAAATACTTGCTACACCATGAGCAGCCAGTAAATGCTCATCTCTAGTTGTTATGATGATTCTACTTCCACAACCAAACCAATCAAGTCCTCCAACTAGTGTTTCCAATTGGATCAACTGGTTCACATCGTCCAGGACAATGAGGACCTTTTTTTTTGCAAAGTCTACTCTTTGTCATGCTCATACCCCTGTGGACATTGCCAAGCTTCAGACCATCATCCCACATTACCTCAGAAATAAGTGCCTCTTGAAGATGAAGTAGGCCACCGCCTGCGAATTTCTCGTAAGTTTCTCTAACATTGGGAAGAAAGCCGCAACACTCAAATTTGTCTGCAAAAGCATTGTAAGTAGCTTTGGCGATAGTCGTCTTCCCTATTCCTCCAAATCCGCAAATTCCGACCATGCGAACTTCATTCGATTCCATGTCTAGCAGAGTACGCATACGGTCCACATGCGAGTCCATGGCAACCACGTTTTCAGGAACATGTAACTGCTTGCGATTCAGCTGAGCCCATACTCGTTCGACAATGCTCTGAATGACATTAGACTCGCGCCTGGTAGATTCAAAGACATTTGATACAAGGGGTCAATATCTCAAGCACTATAGACCAGATTAAATTCAGTTCCTAGCAATTGACATCTAAAACAGAAATGGGCTTGTAGAGGGACGTGGTCCACCTGCATGTTTACATACTCAACGCATGACTTGCTTGTCATAAAAATCAATTAGCTTGAATTGATCTCCTTCCCATTTTATGCATAAGGATTACCATGAATCTATTGCCAACAGTAAGCATACTCAGAAAGGAGTGAATGATAGATAGGCTTACTCGTCAACCAAATGCCAGCCAGAGAGGTTAGCTGCTTCAGTCAGTGCTTCTCTCCACCTCTCCACCTTCTCCGAATCGCCGCCCTTCGACTTCAACCTCTCCTCGTGTTTGATCAGGGCTTGCCCGTACCTCCCCCTCTGCCTCCTCACCTCCGACGGATCCACCTTGTAGAACACCGGCCACACGATCTGCCCCATCGGATCCCCGCACTCCACGATCCTCACCAGCTCGTCCAAGCACCAGCCAGAGGACGCGTAGTCCTCCGAGAACACGACGATGGAGATCCTCGACTCCCCGATGGCTCCGAGGATCGCCGGCGCGATCTCCTCGCCCTTCCGGAGCTCCTCGTCGTCCATGAACGCGGCGATCCCTCGCTGGTCCAGCGCCGCGTAGAGGTGGCCGGTGAAGCCGCTGCGCGTGTCCTCGCCGCGGAAGCTCAGGAACACGTCGTATCGGTACGGAGGGCTGAGCTTCCCCCGAGAACCCCGCCTCGTCTCCTCGGCCTCCCGGAGCGTTTCCTCTTCCATGAACTCGGCGCTGGACCTCAGCAACACTCTGTTTCTATCTGGATGGCCGAAGTCCCAAGGTATCGGGCGAGCGGCGCTGCTCCGCCGACGTTCTCCTTCCATCTCCAGAACAGCAACCTGACTGGGAATTGCCTCTGGCCTGTGGGACTCTGAAACCAGGACTGAGGCCCCGTTTCGTTCAGCATTCCCAATGCTCATTTGGCCTCTAAAGTCCCTTGGCCAAATGCAAATGGCGTTTGGCAATTTTTTTTACTCACTTTTGGGAAATGCAATTGCATTTGGAATGCTCCCCAAGGGACCTTTGGCCAATGCACCTCTGAAGGTGCTTTGGGAAGTTGCATTTTCGGAATGCAACTTGCACTATTCATCGACACTGTTCATCTTTCATAAATCGAGGTCCGCGCCGCCGCCGCCGCCCGAGGGCTAGCCCGACTCGGCGACCACCGCCCGGGTCGTGCGACCCGCGATCGCCGCCTGGGTCGCTGGACTCTCGGCGTCGCTTGGGTCGCGCGACCTAAACGCTTCGCCCGGGTCGCGCGACCTGTGCGACCGCCCGAGGTCCCGGCGACCCAAAGGCATGGCCGCTGTGGTCGCGCGACTCCCCGTGGTGGTCGCCGGAGGGTCAGGCACTACCGCGGGACCGCCGCCCTGGGTCGCCGAACCCGGGCGGCCGCCCGGGTCGCGCGAGCTGTGTGACCGCTCGAGGTCCGGCGACCCAGGCGGTGGTCGCCGGCGACCAGATCTGGCCGGAGGCGGTGTAGCTCCACCGGAGCTTTTTAAAAATAAAATAAAATAGCAAAAGTCATTTAGCCCAAGTTGATTTTTTATAAAACACTTACCAAACGCTACTTGCATTTCGGAAAACC